CTGACAGAAACATGTACAAAAATTGCCACCTGCCTGTAAGCAGCACAAAGGGGCGGTGGTGAGTTGTCTAGTCAGCTCACCTAGTGGTGAAAAAAGTACCCCTGAGAAATAAGACCAACACAGCAGGTGTTCACGTAAAGCACTTCGACATCTTGGTCTCTGATTTAATAATTTGTTGGCCTGTGTAATGTATAAACATTGAAAAAAGCTAGACTATAGTAATTATTAGAAAACAAACTTTACCCTATTCTATTCTAAACTAATTTTAGTTTTATAAAACTTTAATAATATTACAATTCACTGGTTATGGTAAAATTAATATTACAAACCAATATCACCAAAATTACAGCAGTTATAGTAAAAATACAAGAGTTGTAATTGCTGGAACAAGAAAGTATTTGTAACTTTGTTTTACTACGATTGGTAAAATTTGCAAGACTTCAAATCAATTGCTTAATTAACTTAAAATTATTATTTTTCAATATAACACATTTGCTACCATTGTAAATATTACTAAAAAAAATAAAATGCTCAATAAGTTTTTCTTTTGTTCTCTCAGTTCAAAACTATTTATATTACTCCAGACATTGACCTGATTTCTAATGTTTTTATATGCAATTATTTATAATCAATCTATTAAATAAAAAAAATACATAAAATTCCCCTTTTTTAAAAAAGCATTAACAATTTTTTTTATATATTTATACCAAAAAAAGAGTTTGTGAATAAAAATCTTATCGTCAACAAATGTTTAATGATTTTTGATGTTTCTTTTTGAAATGTGAGTCACACAATCAGTGACGAACATACACAAAGTCTCCAAGCTGAAATACAACCAAAAATAAAAGCCGGTAGAAGAACGAACCATTAAATAACTTTGACTCTCTCTTGTTTAAAAATGACAAGAAATGATTAACAAAAAAAAAAAAACACAAAAAGCAATTGTTAACTGCTGTGAACAGCAAAAAAAAATTCTATCAAACAAAAAAGCGTAACAAAACTGTTTAAAAATAAATGTAAATACGTGTATTTAACTTTTTTTATTGTTTAATTTTAAATAACATTTTTTCTAGAGAAACAGAGAATGAATTTTTTTCATTCAATTGTATAAAAAGAAATATATTAACAAAACTGAGTACTAAACAATTTTTAACAACAATTTAACCATATTTAGTAGAATGGTTAGAAAGATACTCATAAATAAAGTAAGAAAAAAAGGCTCTCTCTTTTTTTCTTTACTCATTTATTTTGTTTTTGTTTTAAAAAGAGATAAAAAGTACTTTTTTGTTTAATAAAGGTACTATAAAATGGTACCTTTTATTAAGTTGAAAAATTAGTTTTATAAATTACTACTAGTTTCTTCCTTTTGATATTATTGCTTTTAAAAATATATATTTCTAAAATTATTACCACTAACTATTTTATAAATAATTTTTAATAAATTATTACACCAATCGGTTCAGAATCACTTTCTGGATCGATTAAGCTATGTCCGTCTGCCTGTGTGCCCTTGTGCGCACGCTACAGGTCACAATTTTCAACATCATTTTATAAAATTTTTTTTCATTTCTTTTGACGCAAGGACGAAGACTAGGACTAAAATGGTTAAAATCGATCTATTATTTCGCCTATGTTAAATGTTCTATTATCTCTACAAAAATCGGCAAAACTTAGTTTTATACAAGTCTAAATGATACTGACGATTTTCGTAATGATCGGGCCTCATTTAACCTTATCCTTTAATTTAAAAAAAATCATATTTTTAAGCATATGGAATATATCTCGAACATATAATTTTTTTCCTAGACATATTGTATATCTTATGAAAGGCTTTTGGAATATGTATCTTTCTTTTGATATACATATTGTATATTTACTAATACACATCGAATATAGCTTCCGAAATGTATTAAAAATTCTGGAAAAATCTTGGACATTTATCGGAATTTTGCACAAATCTCCGTTATTAATGAACCGTTTTTTCCTTCACTAACAAACTCCATAGACCTGAATTAAAGGATTCATATACCTGTATGTACTAAGAAATTATATAATATTCAGTCCATTATAGCAACGGTTCCCTAGAATCTGAGGCTCAGGTTGTGATATACAAAAATAAAAAATTAACGAAATATAGAAAATGCAGATTTAAGAGGGTTTGTTTTTTGCCACTCATGTTTAACTTCAAAACCCCTATTAGATTCACAAGACATTCTGGTAATATGTATTTTAGGATCAAGTCTAAATCGTACTCTCAGAAGTCTAAATTGTAGTGTCAGTTACACGAAAACTTATGTAATCATAAAGACGATGGTCTTTACTTCGGAAGAGCTTGCGAAGCAGAAATGAAATGCTGAATGATAAAGAAACTTTGACGACCGTAAAAGCAGGAGCTGAAGAAAGTTCTTTTAGAAACCTGTCTCTATATAAGTTTTTTCGGCAGAAAATGGACATTATTATAGTAGTTTTCACTTTTTTAATATTGGCACAATATTGTGTGGCAACTCTTTTCAATTTGCATAAGAATTTAAAATAGTGGCAACTCCGTTGAAATTGGTGAAATTATTTTCTGAAATACATGTGCGATTCCAATATTTATCAGCGGCTACGTTTAAGCCGGCTTAGCTTTTGAGCCGAAAGAAGTCGGCGGCGGCGCGGCTTGACCGTAAAGCAGAAGCTGAAGAAAGTTCTTTTGGTTATGAATGACTTCACTTACTCCCAATGATAGTGCTGAAAGGTCTTCAAATGTATGAGACATTTAATAGATGTATTGACATGGTGGACAGACTAGGTCAATAGAAGTAGCATAATTTATAGATCTAAACCACAAAACTGAGCGAACCCCTGTATTATAGGATTTAGATATTTTTGAAAATGGGCACATCTTTATGAAAGACTTTAGTATAAAACATATTTTCTTATACTACTTATTTTAAAAAAAAATTTAGATTCTGCCGGACTTGCAGTAAATGAGCGATATGTACTTTTAAGTCTGAATAATTTCGCATTTTTTGGAGAAAAAATTACTATTTTCTGCGCTCTATTATGCTGAGAATATTGTAAAAATTTTGCTTACTGAATAACTACATTAATCACGCTAGACGCATTGGTCTTCCTTTCAATAACTTCTGTAGGAGTTGTCAAAATGAGTATGCCTTGGCATAGACTCGAATTGGATCTATTCGAATTGTCGAATATTCAATTGGAACGTCTTATGACGTTCATAAATGTGTCAGAATGGGCGTGAACTTCGAATTCCCAATAAGCAGGTCGTAATCTTTACAGTCATGTCTTTACTCCACGGCAATTATGTCTGGTTCTTCTCTTCGACAGTTTCCTCACTCTTCCTCTCTATTCTCTTTTTTCCACTATCTCTATCTATCTTTTTCTTCTTACAAGTATTTTTACAAAGCGATCAATTTGGACCCGAGTAAAGCAGCATTAACTTAACCTGATTACATTAAACAGGGATTTAGGCCTTAACAACATATACCCACCATCAAAGCGTTCGATCCATAAAAACCTAGTGGTTTATGAATCGATTGTTTTGTCATTTCAAGGTCTAATGATTTATTAGCTCTATGCTAAATTGTAGTATACATATATCGATATCAATGGGAACAGGGAGATTTGCAGAATAGAGCTTTAATGGTGGAATGGTTCCGCAGATATACATAGATCAAGCTATACAGCATTTGAAAAGAGGTTCACTTTTTACAACAATTTAATCTTAATACCACTATTTTTCAACGATTTATTGACAACAAACACATTATCTTTATGAAGGGCTTTATGAGGGTTGGGGTCACTTAAAGATCGATTTCCATAAAATCTAGTAGTGATATTATGGTTCTTATTGAACTTGTTTATGTGGAATTTCATAGTAATACTGGAATTTTGAAACCAGTTATAAACGTTGAAAGTCATTTTCAGAGCTAGGTGAATCGATTCAAGAATACCGATCATTCAAGAATATTTGTGGATAATTTCAGCTTTCAACGGAGAAACGCACAGACATACAAACGGACGTTTCTAGATCATATTAGAATTAATACAGAGACAGAATATATATACTTTTAAAGCTAATATTGAAAAGCTTAACCTTTGGCATGAAAATGAATTTAATATTTAACAGATCAGGGGATATATTAATGAACTTTTTTCAATATTTAAATACCACTTCGTTAAAAAAGCAATGACAAATGGTGATATTACTCTACTCAATCCTTCGCAATCTAATTTTGAAAAATTGTACTAATGACAAATTTATTTAACTATAAATGGCTTCAAAGTGAGTGAGAAAATTGTATTTTAGTCAATTCAAATATTTGCTAAAACAATTAAGATAACAACTACTAGATATGACTTTATTACAGAGCGCCATGAAATGAGAAATTTTGTTAAAATGTATCCCGAAAAATTCTCCCCCAACTAAAGTACCTACCAATGGGTTGGTACTCTTTTCTTAATAAAAACAATAAAACAAAAACCTAAACAACAAAATAAATAATATCTCCAAACGAACCTTTTTTTGTTTTATATATATTTTTTTTGGTTCGTAGAACTTTATACTTTAACACACATTTAGTCTAAATTCATACGTACTGCAGTAAACAATTAACTGATTTTTTTGTTTTCATTTGATTCTTTTGTTTTTTGTTAACAAAAAAAAAAGAAGTAATAAAAAAATTATAAAAAAATATAAAAAATTACTTTGGTGTTATTGTTTTAAGTGTGTTTTTTTTGTTGTTACTGGTTTCATCACCTGTCTGTCACTCAAAAAAATAAAAGTTTTTTTGTTGCTTTTGTTAACCATAACGTTCGTTGTCGTCGTTGTTATATTCTCTGATAAGATTACGTTTTTTTCAGCTTTTCCTAAAAAATTTGTTTCAATATTTATTTTAGTTAAAATAATAACTATATATATAATTTAAATTAGTAGCTTTTTCAATAAAATTACTCAACTTAAATAATAATTGTAATTATTTTTCGTTATATAGTTCGCAAAATGGACACACAACTTGTGTGGGCCCGTGATCCGGTTGAAGGTTATATACAGTGTCAAATATCGGAAATCGGTGCTAAGGAATTTGAAGTTACACCCTTAGATCGTAAATATCCAAAACGTTCATGTGCCGTAGAGGATATATTTTCATCGTGCGATGGACCCCAAGATCATGATGATAATTGTAAGTAGTAAAATCTGTTTTTTAGAAACTTTTAATTAAGAATTATTAAAATAAATTTATTATATTGAAATCTTATGAAATTTATTAAGTGTTCAATTAACACAATTAACACAAAACAAGCGGAATTTTTGTAATCCCTTTATCTCTATATATTTCCCTTTTTAGTTGTTCTAAACCAAACTCTTTACATTTTGTATATAATTATACCCTACACCACTTTAGTGGGGAGGGTATATTGGATTTGTGCTGATGTTTGTAACATACACCTAGACCCACCTTAAAGTATACCAATCGGCTTAGAATCGTTTTCTGAGTCGATTAAGCTATGTCCGTCCGTCCGTCTGGCTGGCTGTCCATGTAAACCTTGTGCGCAAGGTACAGGTCGCAATTTTCAAGATAATTGGATGAAATTTGGCACGCATGTTTTATTTGACCCAAGGACGATGCCTATTGAAAATGGTTAAAATTGGTCCATTATTTCACCTAGCCCCCATAGAACAGAACCCCCCGAAAAGAGCTTCTGAGCTCATAATTATGTTAAATATACAGATATATCGATAAAATACGGCACAACTAAGTTTTATAGAAGTCTTGATGACCCTACCAAATTTCATAAAGATCGGGCCCCATTTGACCCTAGCTCCCATACAAAGTCCTCTTCAGAAAATTACTTGAATGTCCCAAATTAACTTATAAACACAAAAATCGCTATGAAATTCAGCACAATAAAATATTATGTAAATATAAATATATTCACAAAATTTTATCGGGCTTGGTCCATATTTGCCCCTAGCCCCCATATAAAGCCTCTTTCAGAAAAATAGTTTTTCATCCATAAATTGCTTAAATGTATCGGAACAAGGGAATATTGAAGATAAATGCTTTATTATGAAAAATAAATCACATTTAATATTCATAACTGGTGTAGGGTATCATATGGTCGGCCTCGCCCGACTATACTTTCTCACTTGCTTTTCTTTATTAATGTTGAGACAACACATCTTCATTTAGATATTTGTTTAATATTAATTTAGGTTAAATATGCTACTTCCATCAACCTACTTAATGCAAAAAAAAAAACAAAGTGTGTTGCTGCCATCCCATCTATTGTTTTAATGTTGCACAAATTTGCATGTATTTTTTTTTTCTTCATCCTTTACGAAATGCATAAAATTTTCCAAGCAGAAAATTTTTATAAAAAAAAAATTGAAAAAAAAAAATCGTGCTTTAAATGGCACGAAATTAATGGTAATTTTCGTAAATCAACTGAAAATCGTTGTTGTATGTAAAATATATGAAATAGCTGCAAACTATAATAAAAACTATAACAAAAGAAGATAATAATAAAACCATAATAAGAATACATAGTTGTAGAGTAAAAATAGTTCATTTGTATAGATACCAAATATAGATTCCATAAAAAATTGTACTTATGTTTGTATAACTAAATTTAAAACATGATTTTCCGGTGCTACAAAGAAATTATGGTTTAATCATACATATTTACAGTTATGTTGCTTTGTATAGCAGATATTAGCATAAAATTGTAATACAAATTAAATTAGATCATATAAATAACATAATTTTTATACCCACCATTTTGGTATTCTGGTTTTACCCCATGTTCAAAAGGGGTTAATTTCCAATTTGTTATATACATAGTATAATTTTCTGGATTTTTTTTTTTTCAAATAATAGTGTTTTTCTCAGTTTTTAAACATTGGGATCGTATTGGCACCAAATACTTTTAAGGGTTAATTTAAATTTTTATACCATACACCACTTTAGTGGGGAGGGTATATAGGGTGTGTGCTGATGTTTTTAACGCACAATAATATTGTTCCTATACCTTAAAGTATACCAATCGGCTTAGAATCATTTTCAGATTCGATTCAGCTGTAGCCGTCCTTCTGTCCGTCCGTCCATGTAAACCTTGTAATCAAACTACAGGTCGCAAATTTGAAGATAATTCAATGAAATAGGGACGAATCCTATTGAAAATATTTAAGATCAATTATTCACCAATTATTTCACCAAGCCCCCACACAACTGAACCTACTACGAATAGGGCTTGTAAACCTTGTAATCAAACTACAGTTAGCAATTTTGAAGATAAGTCAATGAAATTTGCCACATGATCTTCTATTGTACCAGGGACGAAGCCTATACCTTAAAGTATACCAATCGGCTTAGAATAATTTTCTGGGTCGATTCAGCTATGTCCGTCTGACCTTGTAATCAAACTACAGGTCGCAATTTTGGAGATAATTCAATGAAATGATCTTCTATTGTCCCAGAGACGAAGCCTATTAAAAATGGTTAACATCGGTCCATTATTTCCCCTAGCCCCCATACAACTGAACCTACGAATAGGGCTTGTAAACCTTGTAACCAAACTACAGGTCAAGATAAGTCAATGAAATTTGGCACATCTTCTATTGTAACAGGGACGAAGCCTATTGAAAATGGTTAATATCGGTCTATTATTTCAGCTAGCCCCCATACAACTGATTCATCCGAATAATTATGTTTAATATGCTCGTATCTCGACAAAAAGCTGCAAAACCAATTTCTATACTAGCCTTGATGACCCTGATGAATTTTATAATGATAATGTGGAGACGTGAATTTTAATGTTTTTTTTTTGTACGATGCGCTAATCGTTTTTTTTTCGTCTCAAATACAAATTCGTTAGTGTTATAGTAAGATATGGCAACCCACACCAAAACTCCGGCTTCTCTGCTGTACTTTTATTAAGTTTTGGATAGAAAAGTTGTATCCATCGGATCCATCGATATTACGATTTTTTGCCTCAGAAAAACAACTTTGAGCAACTTATTCCATCAAGTCATTGTATTCGTTGCAAATTGGAGGTCCTGAGCTTTAAGATTCTAATCCTAATCCATCGATCTATCGAGGTTACGATTTTTGTTTCAGAAAAACAACTTTGAACAAATTATTTCATTAAGTCATTGTATTTGTTGCAAATTGGAGGTCCTGAGCTTTAAGATTCAAATTTATTGGTGGTTTCTTTTGAAGGTTTCAACGATTATTATGCTTTTTTCCTTACCGAAACTTTTAAGAGCTTTCTCCTGTTCCATTTTTATGAAATTTAAAATAGGTACTACTGTTTAAAATTTACATCATTACAGCATTCATCGATGTGAATTACCAGATTCCGTCTAATTTCTTTAAAATAAAATAATTCCTTATTCAAGTGGTGCATAAAAACCCCTATTTTATTATAGGTAAAGATATAAAACTAAATTTCTTTAGAAAAAACAAAAAATCTACTCATTTTTTAACTGGTTTAACTAAATTTCCCACTTTCGAAGCCAACCCGAATGTTTTTTTTTTTTTTAATTTTGAATCATTTAATATTTGAACACTCCTGCATTTGTACTGATATTAGTAGCACGCAAAAACAATGGTAACACACCCAACTCTAAATATACTAATTCGCCACGAATCGTAGTTTGGGCCGGTCTTTTACAAAAGAAAATTATCTCAGTGGCAGCTAAAACAACCGAAAGTTAGTTTTACTGGAAAACACAATCGGCTAGTGTGGAACTGTTACAACATAAAGTACTACACTCCCAGGGCATGTTACCTTGTTTGGAGAACCGCCCTTAGATGGGTATTACTGCTAGTCTTGTTGTGACTATAAACTAGAGAAGTCAGTAGACTTCTCGGTCAAACCAGCAACCAGAAAACCAAACAATTTGGTACTACCGATGTCGGTTGGCCCACAAGAATAGTCTTGTTAACTTGAATCGGTGAAAATAACATTTCGCGATAAGTTCGGTGCTGTTGCCGTGCAACATGATAGCTCAGTGAAGAGACTATAGGACTTAATGTTGAGAATGAAAACTTCAGAACTAATATAAAGTTCTACAGAATGGTTTCCAGGGCTTCCAATGATGCTGTAAAAGTTTCTGTAGGGTATATGTTTACATCCGTTCGGAAACTAGTTAGTTTAGACGAGATCCAAAAATGATCCGTGATATTTACCCAGCAAAAACATGGTAATGACTTATACTTACTCAACAACTTACTTTTCAATAACTACTACATACCGAAGAAGTATAGTATTGACTTAGAAATAATATATTATGTAAGTAATTACTTTTTAACTTGACAAATTGTTTTCGAACTTTCATTCATCTCTCTCGCGGTACGGAGTTTTTTCGTACTCGGAAACTTGTTTTGTTTTGTTATTCTTCTCATTCGTACAACAACAAATCAATGCAATTAATACGTAGTTTCTGAAACAAAAGTTTCTATGTGTGGACATTAAGGAAACTTCAAAAGAGAATTAAGAAAAAGTTTCTCAACAAAAGTTTCCTAGTGTGGACCAGGTCTAATAGAAGCAGTGGGCGTATCCTCGTAGACAATTTTTCTTAGAAACAGAGCTACTTACTTAACTCCCTATTTGCAGGCGATAGTAGTAAGTACTTACCTAATTCCCTATTTGTAAGCGAGTGTGGTAAGTACTTGCCTCCAATGTCATCCCCTTGCTAAATACTGAAAATGCTATTGTGAAAGTAAATTTTATCATTTTAAGCCCTTACTTTTCAATGTAAGTTTTTGCTGGGTATAAATTCAATTCAAAGTTTTAAAAAGACTTCAAACATTTCATTTAAAAACAGTTTGAATATTTTAAGTTAAAAAATACTACATATTTTCTTATTCACAACTTTAAATATTGGTCCCATTATATTTAGCTTGTCAATTTGATGTCATAAATTGTTAAAGACATGACTAAATCATATAGAAGTTAAATAAAATGTGCACTTTCAAGTGGAAAGTATGAAAAAATATAAAAAAAGTTAGAAACTACATTTTAAAGTTCATTATATATGACCTGAATCAAAGGAGTTTATGTTTATGCTTTTTTTTTCTGAAATCACAAAACCATTCAATCTTGATTCATTCAGTTAGGAAAATGTCAAACTATGTTGTGCTCTAATACTACAATGTGATACAATACAATATGATCTTATATTCATACATTCTTTTTTGACACAAATAACCAAACGCAGCAGAGAAAATCAACAAACTGTGTTGCAACACAGAAAAGGAAGGAAATGTTTATACAACTAAACCAGTAAAAGATGATTATATGACAACGATATAAATACTATAACATACATACATACATACATACATTTATTTTTATACTCGTTTTTAGAATTTTTATGATTATGAATATCACGTTTAACGTTTTTTTATAGTTTTTTTTTCAAAATACTTTTTTTCGGTTTTCTCCATTTGTTAGCAGAACTCTGGTAGACAAAGTTTAAGTTAAAGGAATATGGATGGCACGAGTTTTAAAGTGTTTGTTTGTATGAGTGTTTTTATAAAAAAGAAGTCAATGAATTTTTAATGAACAATTTGTATGGATTTTTTCATTTTTTTTTCAATAGTTGGAAAAATGTCACGTTTATTTAGTTGTTATTTTTTTTTTTTTTGTAATACATATTACATTGCATGTACTACTTTCGAGCGTTATGTTTGTAAAATAAGTGACTCAGTTAAGATATTTGTTTCGTATTGTATTCATTGTTAAGGTTTTATGATATTTTTTCTTCGTATAAGAAATACTCCAGTTTGATTTTGATGCATACTTTGGAATATATAAATGTATGTACATTAGGGTAGCCCGAAAAGTGGATGTTGCTGATGTTCAAGCCGAAAATGAAAATTTAGTTCATTCATTCAAGATAACTTTTCTCAATTTTTTTTTTTTTTGTCCTGACGTCAATATTTTGTAAGCTTGGTCAAAGGGTAAAAAGGTTCATTTTGAGGTTTTAATGATAGTTCCACATTTTTTGAAAATAACCCAGCAAAAACTTACATTGAAAAGTAATGAGTTAAAATGCTAAATAAAGCCGCTCTTCATTAGTATTTTAACACGGTGATGACATTAGAGACAAGTACTTATCGCGCTCGCTTACAAATCACAACTTAAATAAGTACTTACAAATAAGGAGTTAAAACGTTGTTTTGTTAAAAAAAAATCGTCACATAGAATACAAACCTGAGTTCGTTAGTTCGCTGTCTTCAACACCACTGATTAGTTATTATATTGTCCATCCAATAATGGTTTTCACACAAAAGATCTATTTTCTTCCTGTATGTGTAAACAAAAATTACCAGCGCGCGATTCAATAAAATGTGCATATGTATATTTGCCGTATTACATACAGTATTTCGGTATCTGATTATATGTAAGTCATTATAAAAGTATTTAAAAGTCAAGCAGACAGTAAGTAATAGTCACTGAAAAGTAAGTGGTTATATAAGAACCAACCATTACCAAGATTTCGCTGTTTTTTTACACCATCCACTTACAACATCTTGGTGCCATTGCTATCCGAAAAGAGATGCTACAAAATGGAATGATTTAACCTGGAGTCGAATCCCAAAGCCATATAATCTGGTACTAATAGAACCGGTAGGCCACAGGGCAAAGTTTCAGACTTTGTCTTGTCCAAGTTATTGGAAAGGGAAGAAAATCTGGGTTAAAATACTGCCGAAAAGATAACAGATACCCCTCAAAGAAGTCACTGTGGGCCTAAGCATTGGAAATGGGTTGGTGTCAAATAAAAAAGAAATCTAGAGTGAGTGTTTCCTCAATGAATCTGTCGGATAAATGAGAAGTTTCGGTAATATTTCACTTCAGTACTTTATTTTTCCCATATAAAAGCAGCCACCCTAATATGTCTCATACATACATATTTATGTAAATTTCTTATTGTTGAATGAAATTTTACAAACATTTTTGAATAGTTTGCAAATATGTAAATCAGAATAAAAAATTCTAAACATGACATTAGATAAATTTCGTTTTCGATTCAAAATACACACAACTATGTATTTGCAAATATTTTTTTCTCATTAAATTTCTTTTTTTATTTAATAAATAGAGCAATTTCTTTTATTTCTTTAAGTATGTAATTTTATGTGATTTTTTAAAGTTTATTTTATAATATTAAAACATGGCCTAATAATAGTACTACTTACGAGTACTTAAAATGTCTTAGGGCGGGTTTCTTACTACTCAGTTAAACTAGACTTAACTTGCTGTTAGATTAAACTCGGAACAAATGTAGGCGGACTTTAACCGATGATTGTGTTTTTCAGTTATGGATTTAAGTTCAGTTAACTTTGTTAGTATTGCCAACTTTTCACTCAAAAATATAAACAATGAACAGCTGTTTTTTGCAAATAATACTTTTGTAAAATGAAAATTTTTGGAAAAATGTTAAATAAACATTTAAAACAATTGTAAATAAACGAATCGGAAAATTGCAATTTACTTAAAATATTAAGTTTTTGTTCTTCCGAAATCAGTGTTTTATTGTTTTTATTAATTGTGTCTTCTCACTTATAACTTAAGTTTAATTGGCCAATAACACTCAGTAAAACTAAGATAATAAGTAACGTTACTGTTTACTGAAAAACACAAAACATATATTAAACTAGGTTTAAACAAAGAATGTAGATTATCTTTATCTGAAAAACCCGCCCTTAATCATCAAAGTATAGTTAACAACTTTATTAACCCTTTTATAAAACCAGTGTTACCCACTTTACTCTTTAGAAATTCAGCATTTAAAGCCACATGTCAATATTTTGATAAATTTTATTTTTTTTGAAGCAGAAGAAGCATAAACAACACATACACCACCACCGTTGCAAACGAGGAACGAAACCTACCACGTCGTACTAGAGTGGTATTGGCACAACTTAGATCGGGATCGTGTACCCGTTTAAACTCGCACTGGTCGAGAATAAACAACACCATTCAAGATCTCTGTCCTTCGTGTGGCACAGGCCCACACAATGTTCAACACCTTTTCAACTGCAGGGCAAATTCAACTCTTCTGGAACCTAAATCCCTTTGGACTCAGCCGATTGATGCAACTCGTCTACTGGGATTTGGATTACCAGAGCGAAGAAAAAGAAGAGTAGGGAATAATTTTTAACTATATATACATACATACGTGTAATTTGAGGTGTCGCTGCTACAACAATAACACATACACAAATTTTGATCAAAATTTTGACGTGTGGCCGGTCATATAGCTTAATTTATCGAATCAAATTGTAGTTGATTTTAGGTGTCCATTCTCACTATTTGCATTTATATGAAAATCTATTAACTCCATCTTCGATTTGTTTTTTTTTAATTTCAGGCGAACTTATGCTTCTTAACGAAGCCACATTTTTGGATAATTTAAAAACCCGTTACTACAAAGACAAAATCTATGTAAGTTTTGAAATATCTTAAAAATATCTAATAAAATAACTAAATGTAAAAAATATTTCTATTACAGACCTATGTGGCCAATATATTAATAGCAGTTAATCCCTATCGTGATTTAAATGATCTCTATGCACCTGCCACAATTAAAAAATATAATGGACGTTCCTTGGGTGAATTACCACCTCATGTTTTTGCCATAGGTTAGTATGAACTCATGTTAAAAACATATTATACCCAATAACTTTACGATTTCCTTACAGCCGACAAAGCTATACGTGATATGCGCGTATATAAAGCTTCTCAATCAATTATCGTCTCGGGTGAGTCGGGTGCCGGTAAAACAGAATCAACAAAATATTTACTTAAATATTTGTGTCATTCGCACGATAGTGCTGGTCCTATAGAGCAGAAAATCTTAGATGGTAAAATTCAATTGACTTAAACAGACAATTAATTGTACAACACAAAATACATATTATTTTCAATTATTTCTGCTTTAGCTAATCCCGTTCTAGAGGCATTCGGTAATGCGAAAACTACACGCAATAACAATTCGTCTCGTTTTGGCAAATTCATTGAGGTTCATTATGATGGTAAAACTCAAGTTGTTGGCGGCTATATTTCACATTATTTACTGGAAAAAAGTCGTATTTGTACGCAAAGCGCTGAGGAACGTAACTATCATGTGTTCTATATGTTGTTGGCGGGGGCACCTCAACAATTGCGTGATAAATTAAGCTTAGGCAAACCAGATGATTATCGGGTATGTAAACAATTAATATCTATTATTTTTATAGCTAGGACTGCTACATACATACATACATACATACAATTGTTTACATTTTTAACGTCATTACTGTAGTTTAGTGTTTATTTTTTAAGGTTTCTTGTAACAGTTTTGTGTTGTTAGTTAGCCAAAAAAAAAAAAATAGAAGAATTTTTGAAATACAGATAAGCCTTGAATTAGTTAAGTGTTAAGATAATTTGTTATCTTTTTATAGGTATTTATTGCATTTGCTTTTTGGTTTACTTTTTCAGAATTGTATTGTTTAAAAGCTAAACATTTATTCGGTATTTAGAATTTTTAATGAACATAATTTAGCTTAAAGTTTATTTTCGTTTGCAACAAAACTTGAATGAGAAATATATAAACAAACCTATTTTTCATACCCTTCTGTCTGTTCCCATTTATCTGCAAGATGCGAATCTTCTATAATTCTATCGCGCATGCCTTCGAGAAGATCGATAGAGATATGAGTAAAATTCCAAGACAAGTTTTGAAAAATTATATATAATTCTCCACTCACTTTAGTTACTTAGTTCAGTTATTAAGTTGGTAAGATAGAAACATAGAAAAAGTCTCTTTAATGGAAATACTTTTTCTACATAAAAATTTTTTTAATAGAGACACTTTTTCTATAGAAAAAGTCTTTTAATGGAAACACTATTTCTATAGAAAAAGTATCTTAAATGGAGACACTTTTCTATAGGAAAATACTGTTTAATGGAGACACTTTTTCTGTAGGAAAAGTCTATAATGGAGGCATTTTTTCTAGTTAGTAGTTAGTTAGGTAGTTAGTAGTTAGTTAGAGTTAGTTAGTTAGTTAGTTAGTTAGTTAGTTGTTAGTAGTTAGTTAGTTAGTAGTTAGTTAGTTAGTTAGTAGTTAGTTAGTTAGTTAGTTAGTTAGTTAGTTAGTTAGTTAGTTAGTTAGTAGTTAGTTAGTTAGTTAGTTAGTTAGTTAGTTAGTTAGTAGTTAGTTAGTTAGTTAGTTAGTTAGTTAGTTAGTTAGTTAGTTAGTTAGTTAGTAGTAGTTAGTTAGTTAGTTAGTTAGTTAGTTAGTTAGTTAGTTAGTTAGTTAGTTAGTAGTTAGTTAGTTAGTAGTTAGTTAGTTAGTTAGTTAGTAGTTAGTTAGTTAGTTAGTTAGTTAGTTAGTTAGTTAGTTAGTTAGTTTAGTTAGTTAGTTAGTTAGTTAGTTAGTTAGTAGTTAGTTAGTTAGTTAGTTAGTTAGTTAGTTAGTTAGTAGTTAGTAGTTAGTTCGTTAGTTAGTTAGTTAGTTAGTTAGTTAGTTAGTTAGTTAGTTAGTAGTTAGTTAGTTAGTTAGTTAGTTAGTTAGTTAGTAGTTAGTTAGTAGTTAGTTAGTAGTTAGTTAGTTAGTTAGTTAGTTAGTTAGTTAGTTAGTTAGTTAGTTAGTTAGTTAGTTAGTTAGTTAGTAGTTAGTTAGTTAGTTAGTTAGTTCGTTAGTTAGTTAGTTAGTTAGTTAGTTAGTTAGTTAGTTAGTTAGTTAGTTAGTTAGTTAGTTAGTTAGTTAGTTAGTTAGTTAGTTAGTTAGTTAGTTAGTTAGTAGTTAGTTAGTTAGTTAGTTAGTTAGTTAGTTAGTTAGTTAGTTAGTTAGTTAGTTAGTTAGTTAGTTAGTTAGTTAGTTAGTTAGTTAGTTAGTTAGTTAGTTAGTAGTTAGTTAGTTAGTTAGTAAGTTAGTAAGTTAGTAAGTTAGTAAGTTAGTAAGTTAGTTAGTTAGTTAGTAGTTAGTTAGTTAGTTAGTTAGTTAGTTAGTTAGTTTGTTAGTTTGTTAGTTAGTTAGTTAGTTAGTTAGTCAGTCAGTTAGTTAGTTAGTAGTTAGTTAGTTAGTTAGTTAGTTAGTTAGTTAGTTAGTTAGTTAGTTAGTTAGTTAGTTAGTTAGTTAGTTAGTTAGTTAGTTAGTTAGTTAGTTAGTTAGTTAGTTAGTTAGTTAGTTAGTTAGTTAGTTAGTTAGTTAGTTAGTTAGTTAGTTAGTTAGTTAGTTAGTTAGTTAGTTAGTTAGTTAGTTAGTTAGTTAGTTAGTTATTAGTTAGTTAGTATTTAGTGAGTTAGTTAGTTATTGTTTTAGTAGTAGTTAGTTAGTTAGTTAGGTAGTTAGTTGTTAGTTAGTTAGTTAGTTATCTTAGTTAGTAGTTAGGTTGGTAGTTAGTTAGTTAGTTAGTTAGTTAGTTAGTTAGTTAGTTTTGTAGGTTAGCTAGTTAGTAGTTAGGTAGTTAGTTAGTAGTCGTTAGTTGTTGTTAGTTAGTTAGTAGGTGTTAGTTAGTTAGTAGGTAGTTAGTTAGTTAGTTAGTTAGTATAGAGTTATTTAGTTAGTTAGTTAGTTAGTTAGTTAGTTAGTTAGTAGTAGTTAGTTAGTTAGTTAGTAGTTAGTTAGTTAGTTAGTTAGTATTTAGTTAGTTAGTAGTTAGTTAGTAGGTTAGTTAGTTAGTTAGTTAGTTAGTATTAGTTAGTAGTTAGTTAGTTAGTTAGTTAGTTAGTTAGTTTCGTTAAGTTAGTTAGTTATTTAGTTAGTAGTTAGGTTATGTTAGTTTCGTTAGTTAGTTAGGTAGTTAGTTAGTTAGTTAGTTGTTAGTTAGTTAGAGTTAGTTAGTTAGTTAGTTAGTTAGTTAGTTAGTTAGTTAGTTAGTTAGTTAGTTAGTAGTAGTTAGTTAGTTAGTTAGTTAATTTGTTTCTCAGGAAAATTTATGTACATCACATCCGAACCTTGCCCAGGTTCAGCTGGTTAGTTAGTTGGCCAACTGGTTAGTTTCATTTTTGCAGAATTTGATAAAGTTTGTTTCACTTTCCTAAACATTTCATTCTACTTTTCCTTCTTTTTTCCAACATACAGTATCTTTCTGGCTGCACACAATACTTTGCCAACAGTAAGACGGAACAATTAATACCGGCAACACAAAAATCAAAACACCATACACAGAAGGGTCCACTAAAGGATCCCATTATCGATGACTACAATCACTTTCAAAATTTGGATAAAGCTTTGGGACGTCTGGGTCTAAGTGAAGCTCAAAAATTGGAAATATATTCACTGGTGGCAGCTTGCTTACATTTGGGTAATATTTCATTCGAAGAAATACCCGATGATGCTAGAGGAGGCTGTCAGGTGTCGGATTCATCGGAAAAATCTTTAACCATTACTTGCCGTTTGTTGGGTGTTGATCCCGATGAACTAAGACAGGCTTTGGTATCGCGTGTTATGCAAAGTAAGGGAGGTGGCTTTAAGGGCACTGTTATTATGTAAGTAGTGTTAGTAATATGGTGAACAATTTTGTATTTTTATTTCTTGATTATTTTTAGGGTCCCTTTGAAAATCTATGAAGCTTCCAATGCTCGTGATGCTTTAGCTAAAGCCATTTACAGCCGTTTATTCGATCGAATTGTGGCATTAATCAATCAAAGCATTCCCTTCCAAGCTTCCAATTACTATATAGGTGTTTTGGATATTGCTGGTTTTGAATATTTCACCGTTAATTCATTTGAACAGTTTTGCATTAATTATTGCAATGAAAAATTGCAGAAATTCTTTAATGACAATATTTTGAAAAATGAACAAGAACTTTATAAACGTGAAGGTTTAAATGTTCCTGAAATCACATTTACCGATAATCAAGATATTATCGAATTAATAGAATCCAAGGGAAATGGTATCTACACTTTGCTGGATGAAGAAAGTAAGCTGCCCAAACCCTCAGCAGTACATTTCACCACTGAGGTGCATAAAGCTTGGTCCAATCATTATCGTTTGGGTTTGCCGCGTTCGTCAAGACTTAAGGCTCATCGTACTTTGAGGGATGAGGAGGGTTTCTTAGTGCGTCACTTTGCTGGAGCAGTTTGTTATAATACGGAACAGTTTATAGAGAAAAATAATGATGCTTTACATGCTTCCTTAGAGGGTTTGGTACAGGAATGTGAAAATACTCTACTGAAATCATTATTCCCTTCGGGTAGCAGCAATGCCACTAGAGGCAAATTGAATTTTATCTCTGTGGGCTCTAAATTTAAGACACAATTGGCTGAATTAATGGAAAAATTAGAGAAGAATGTAAGTTTATTGTTTTTTTAAGATAATTCTTAGCTAATTGTGCTTTTTTTTTGTTAAACAGGGCACCAATTTCATACGTTGCATTAAACCCAATAGTAAAATGATTGATCGTGAATTTGAGGGTGGTTTAGCTTTGGCTCAATTAAAATGTTCTGGCACCATATCCGTTTTAGAGCTTATGGAACATGGCTATCCATCCCGTGTACCCTTCGCCGATCTATATAACATGTATAAATCTCTACTACCACCAGAATTGGCCAAATTACCAGCACGCACTTTCTGTGAAGCCATGTTACAGTCTTTGAATCTCAGTTCAAGAGATTTTAAATTTGGCATTACTAAAGTATTCTTCCGGCCGGGTAAATTTATAGAATTTGATCGTATCATGAAATCGGATACAGAAAATCTGTTGGCTATTGTGGCTAAGGTTAAGAAATGGTTAATACGTTCCAGATGGGTTAAATCTACATTGGGAGCTTTATGTGTTATAAAATGTAAGTTGTTTGGTGGATGTAATCATTGTTATATTAATTTGTTCTTTTATTACAGTACGCAATCGCATTAAGTATCGCAATAAATGCGTTTTGATTATGCAGAGTACTGTACGTGGCTATTTGGCGCGCAAACATCATCGTCCTCGTTATCAGGGTATTTCGAAAATTAATAAAATTCGTTTGAATGCTCAAAAAACAGTAGAAATTGCTGGTGGTCTGAAAAGAGGCCGTGAGGAAATTTTAGCTGAAGTATCGGATATAAATCGTCAAATCGATGAAGCTATACGCAAGATAAAGGTACCGTTTATACAGGATTTTTGAAAAGAATCGAAAATTAAAGCATTTTTTATTATTTTACAGGCTAACGATAAAATTACCACCCGAGAAATTGATGGACTTTATACAAATGTCATGGCTAATATGAATAAAATCACTGTGGACTTAAATACTAAACTTAAGGTATGTTTATAATCTGAATTATAATCTAAATTAAAGGATACGCTTTTTTCTTTTTCTATAGAAAAAATCTCTTTAATGTAGACACTTTTTCTATAGAAAACTCTCTTTAATGGAGTCACTTTTTCTTAGAAAAAATCTCTTTAATGGAGACACTTTTTCTATAGAAAAAGTCTCTTTAATGGAGACACTTTTTCTATAGAAAAAGTCTCTTTAATGGAGACAATTTTTCTATAGAAAAAGTCTCTTTAATGGAGACACTTTTTCTATAGAAAAAGTCTCTTTAATGGAGATACTTTTTCTATGGAAAAAGTCTCTTTAATGGAGACCCTCTTTCTATAGAAAAAGTCTCTTTAATGGAGACACTTTTTCTATAGAAAAGTCTCTTTAATGCAGACACTTTTTTTATAAAAAAGTCTCTTTAATTGAGACACTTTATCCATAGAAAAGGTCACTTTAATAGAGATGGATGTAAAAATGGAGACACTTTTTCTGTAGAAAAAGTCTCTTTAATGGAGACACTTTTTCTATAGAAAAAGTTTCTTTATGGATACATTTTTTCTATAGAAAAGTCTCTTTAATGGAGACACTTTTTCTATGGAAAAAATGTCTTTAATGTAGACACTTTTTTATAAAAAAAAGTCTCTTTAGTTGAGACACTTTTTCCATAGAAAAAGTCACTTTAATAGAGATGGATGTAAAAATGGAGACACTTTTTCTGTAGAAAAAGTCTCTTTAATGCAGACACTTTTTCTATAGAGAAAGTCTCTTTAATGAAGACACTTTTTCTATAGAAAAAAATATCTTTAATGGAGACACTTTTTCTATAGCAAAAAGTTTCTTTAATGGAGACACTTTTTCTATAGAATAAGTCCCTTTAATGGAGACTATTTTACTATAGAAAAAGTTTGTTTAAAGAATAATATTTTTCTATAGACAACATTTTTTTTTATAAACTTGTTTTTCTCATTTACAGGAACAACAGCAAGCCGAAGAGCAGGAACGCTTACGTAAGATTCAAGAAGCTTTGGAAGCAGAACGTCGTGCTAAAGAGGAAGAGGAACGTCGTTGTCGCGAAGAGGAAGAAAACAAAAAGCTGTAACTATTATTTGCCATTGACAGAAAAACGTTTAATCTGCATAATAATTAATATGTTCTTTCCCACTTTACTCTTTCAGTAAAGCCGAAATGGAAGCCAGACGCAAAGCCGAAGAGGCACAACGTCTACGACAGGAAGAGGAGGATCGTAAAGCAGCCTTAGCTTTACAGGCACAATTAGAAAAGGAAGCTCAAGATGATGCCAAATTTAGGCAACAGCTAGAGCAAGAACGTAGAGATCATGAATTGGCTTTACGTTTGGCCAATGAAACAAATGGCCAAGTGGAAGACAGTCCTCCGGTGATAAGAAAGTAAGTACTTGCTTTATGGTATTTTTTAATACATATGTTTTTTATAATAATTGTATATAGCTTTAAAAAATACAACAATTTTAAGCACTTGTGTTTTTGTCCATTTTTGAAAATAATTGTTAAACAATATTGTAAAATTGTATTTGTATATTTTTTACTTTTTTCTCTCTATCACCTTAATTCACCATATTCCAAAAAAAACAAACAAAAAAACAAAAATATTACAAAACAAAATATTCCACATTATTTGGTTTTTAATTACAACAGTGGTCAAATGGATGCAACTTTAATGGGTCAAAATAAACTTATCAGGTATATACCAAAAACAACAAACGTTTTATTAATTCTTTTTTTTTTTCTTCTAATAAACAACAAAACATAAAAACTAATTTATTTAACTTTTAATCTAAAAAAAAATAAGAAGAACTTTTAAATTAATTTTTATAAAATTTCAACTAATTTCTTTTTCCTCTACCAAACAAATCTTTGAAATAACAAATAACATTAACTACATATTTAATAAACAAATAAAGTTTTACACGAGGTGTTTCTAATTTTGCATCTCGTTATTTAAACAATAAGTGAGTTCAGGTTTTTGACATACAATTTCACAGTTTCTTTTTACGCTAGTTTTAGGATCATTATCAATTTTCTTTTTCAACATATTTTAAACATTTTCTTTTCAGTTTACATTTAAACATTTAAAAAGTAGTTAGTTGTGTTTTTTGAAAAAGTAGTTAGTTTTAAAAGCATTTTATCAATTTGTAAATCACACCTCACTTTAATTGATTTTTTTTTTTGTAAAAAAAAAAACTTTTTTTAATTGTATATAATTTTTTAATAAAAACTTGGTTGAGGTTTTTAGTTAATCATTAGAAATCATTAAACATGTATTTATATTAATATTATTAATAATTGTAATTATTATTTACATTTATTTCGATAAAGATCGGAAAATGTTCGTGCTCAACAGCAGGCTTTGGGTAAACAGAAATATGATTTGTCAAAATGGAAATATTCAGAATTACGTGATGCAATAAATACATCCTGTGATATTGAATTATTAGAGGTAAGTTGGAGACATAACAAATATTCTTACAAATTTCCTAACCTCAAGGATTTAAAGTTGTACTTTCACTTATTTTTAATTTTTACGTTTTATTTAGGCTTGCCGCCAAGAATTCCATCGCCGTTTGAAGGTCTATCATGCCTGGAAGGCAAAGAATCGTAAACGTACTACCATGGATGAAAATGAAAGAGCTCCAAAAAGTGTCATGGAAGCGGGTAATTTTAATATTTTTTTTGGCAAAATTATATATTTTATGTAAATATTCAATTACTATTCCTTTGTTTAGCTTCGAAAGCACCACCATTGGTACAGCCTAAACAAGAAATTACAACTGCCCAGCATCGCTATTTCCGTATACCATTTATGAGAGCAAATGCACCTGAAAATAGTAAGTTTATTTGTTATAATAGCTTAAAAATTATTTTAAAATTTATTTACTTTTTAGCTAAACGTGGTCTGTGGTATGCTCATTTTGATGGTCAATGGATTGCAAGGCAAATGGAACTACATGCTGATAAACCACCAATACTATTAACAGCTGGTATGTTTATTGTTGAAATTGAAAAACATTTTTACAGAAAAAGTGTTAACAAACTTTTTAATAGAGACACTTTTTCTATGGAAAAAGTCTCTTAATGGAGACACTTTTTCTATGGAAAAAGTCTCTTAATGGAGACACTTTTTCTATGGAAAAGTATCTTTAATAAAGACAATTTTTCTATAGAAAAAGTCTCTTTAATGGAGACAATTTTCTACAGAAAAAGTCTCTTTAATGGAGACACTTTTTCTACAGAAAAAGTCTCTTTAATGGAGACACTTTTTCTATAGAAAAAGTCTCTTTAATGGAGACACTTTTTTTACAGAAAAAGTCTCTTTAATGGAGACACTTTAATGGATACACTTTTTGTATAGAAAAACTCTCATAAATCGAGACACTTTTTCTATAAAAATGTTTCTTTAATAGAGACACTTTTTCTATAGAAAAAGTCTTTGAAATAGATACACTTTTTCTATAGAAAAAGTCTCTTTAATGGATACACTTTTTCTATAGAAAAAAATCTCTTTAATGGATACACTTTTTCTATAGAAAAAGTCTCTTTAATGGATACACTTTTTCTATAAAAAAGTCTCTTTAATGGAAACACTTTTCTATAGAAAAAGTCTCTTAAATAGAGTCACTTTTTCTATAGAAAAAGTCTCTTAAATAGAGTCACTTTTTCTATAGAAAAAGTCTCTTAAATAGAGACACTTTTTCTATAGAAAAAGTCTGTTTAATAGAGACACTTTTTCTATAGAAAAAGTCTCTTTAAAGGAGACACATTTTCTATAGAAAAAGTCTCTTTAAAGGAGACACTTTTTCCATAGAAAATGTCTCTTTAATGCTGACATTTTTTGTATAGAAGAAGTCTCTTATAAAGACACTTTTCCTATAGCAAAAGTGTCTTTAATGGAGACACTTTTTATAGAAAAATTCTCTTTAATGGAGATACATTTTCTACAGAAAAAGTCTGTGGAGGCAATTTTTAGTAAATAATAAAAAGAGGTCAAGATTCATTAGTTTTGTTTTTTTTTTATTTCAAGGTATCGATGACATGGAAATGTGCGAATTAAGTTTGGAAGAAACTGGCTTAACACGTAAACGTGGCGCCGAAATTCTGGAACATGAATTTAATCGTGAATGGGAAAAGCATGGTGGTAAACCATATAAAAATTTAGGTGCTAAATAAATTTAAAAATTATACTATCAAACTAAATTAAAACTTAAACAACAAACTATATTTTATAATTTAAAATTATAAACAAAAGAATAGAAAGAAACATATTTGTTTGCAAAATAATAAACGAATCGAAAATATACATCATATTTTTACACTAAATTAAATAAAGAAAAAACAAACGGAATATTCATTGGTTATCATAAATCATAGTAGAAGTAGTAGTTAGTTAGTATTTCTTATTTTAATTTTGTATTAATTATTATTTTGAAAATGTACGTGTGCCTTTTCTAGATGAAAACAAAAATTACACAGCAAAAAGAAGTAGTAAATCCTTTATGGTTTCTGTTTAAATAAACTCAAGAGAAAACGAAAAAAAAAAACAAGAGGCATTGCAACACACAATAAGTATTTAAATATTCATAATTACATACATAAATACCTATTATTATTTAATAAAATAATTTAAAATCTATAAACAAGATAATATTTTATTTTAATTAACAGTAATATCAGGAAGGGGAAATAATTGTTTAAATTTTCCAAAAAAAATCTTTTTAGCACATTTTTATAAATTGGGTGATTTAAAAAACAATCAATATTTTTCCATTAGTACTTTATTATTAAATTCTAGCCTTATTTAAAATAATGGCAAACAATTTCTAATTTTTTTATAAAAAATATTTTTTCAATACAAAATTTTGAAAATTGTTTTCCTTTCTTGTTTTTGAATAATGCTATTAAGCCCTAAGACCCTAAGATTTATTCAAATAATCGAAATCAAAACATGATCAAAAAGCATAGCATTTAATTATAAGAAATTATAAACAAATGTGAAATTTTATATCAAAACTAAGCTGATAAAATAAAATAAATAATTAAATGTACATATTTTTTTGGAGTTTACTTCAATAATAGTTGAACTTTTATAAAATGATTAAATTAGCAATTATATGTGCGTAATAATTGCTAATTTAACAAATAGACCAAAAATAACGAATATTGAAAAACTTTTTAAAAATGATTACTATATCACTAAGTTAGCATCACAGACAATTTTGCAAATGGCAGCACACATTTTGGCAACTCTAAATTCTTTATTACTTTCCAAATGATACGGCAACAACTGAAATCTTAATGAACTGCTATATTTAATTACCGTTATAATAAATTAAAGCAAATTTTCAGCTAAAAGGTTATTTGATTTGTTAAAAATAAAAAATTCAAAAACAAAATGTTTCCCTTGTATTGCAATCAATGTTTTCGTCGTCAAAAATATGAAATATCATTACAACTCTTCGTTTCACGTTGTGGCCATATAATCTGTAATAATTGTGCCCAAGAAAATTGTTGCATTTGTGGACGGCCTTTTAAAGCTGTAGCCATCAATAAGGAAATGCCACAATCAATGGCAGGATATTTTTCCAGTCCCATGTCTCAATATCAACACTTTAAGAAAACATTGAAATTTCATCATGAACAACAGCAACGTCTGGTCATGCACATGTGTCGTACGATTGCCGAAGAAGATAAAAAAACAAAAAGTGAGCTGGAAGCTCTTGGCAAGGTAGACGATTCAATTATGCTTCAAATTGAACATGAACGTGAAAGAATACGTAAATTACGCGAGTACATAGAATACCATGAGAGGCGTTTGGAACAGGCTCGTTATATGTCGCCTCCAATTTCATCTCAACCCCGTACCAGATATCAACCAAGGGTACTTGGTATGGAAGCTGCGATGCCTAAAACGTCTAATAAAAATGTCGCTAAGCGTTTTTCACAAACCATAAGACCGAATTTAGTTTTTCCCCAAAGTCCCACCATAAGTGATACTAATAATAGCAGTTCGGTAACTACGGAAGAAACAAATGTGGTAAAACCGATTACTAAAAAGCAAAGAACTCCACCGGCATTATTGCCATTGTCTCAACACAAACTGTCGGATACTGAATTTTCATTTAATTTATTAGACTAATAAGATCAATTATAGTTTCTCTATGATTCAATGTACATACATACTTTGTTGTTGTTTTTTTTTTCTGATTAAACTTAGCTAATAAATTACAAAAACAAAATAAAAAATAATGGTTTTTCTTATTAGAAAATAATCATCAAAATGTATTTTTAATAAATTATAATCGTTGCAGTCCCCATTGTTAAATGTTTTTAATGGCAGAACTAATAAGAATACAGTTCTATTCTTTAAAAAATATTCTACATATTTCTATAGGATGTTTATCGAACGATTAACGAAAACTGTTTAACGAAATATCATTCTAAACAAAGACTACAAATATCTTCTATTGAACAGGTTCATTTCTATCTAAAACTAAAATTCCTATCGATAACGATTGAATAGGTATTTTTGATCCAATAGATTTTTAGTGTAATACAAAAAATTCAGTTTTGAGACAAAATATTTGCAATGTCATTTTTATTATTTCATATTTATTTCGTTATAAAGAATATTCTAAAAATAGCCATGATTAAAAAAATACTTTACAGAGAGCATCTGATTTCAATAATGTATATAACGGGTATGTAATTGAAAGTGATTTCTGCTTAAAGATTTCGCCGCCGCCATGTTTGTAAATTAATTTTCTAGAAAATGTAAACTTTACATTTTTGAATGTTCTCGTTCTTGCAATACATCTTTCAATTATAAAGTCCAGAAAAGTGTAAATTTTACATTTTGGACTTCTATCGTTCTTACACCTTTCAATTATAAAGACCAATTCATACCCGAAAAGGTTCACTTATTTAATTTCTAATTTTAAATCAACATTTGTACAATAATTAAGTATTTTAAACCAATTACTAAGTCATGTTATTCGAATAAATATTAAAATTGTTAGCCTCATTTCAAAAAATCTACAACCTCATCCAATTCACGCTGTCTTGCCTGTTTCTGGGCCCATCTAGATTCGGCCACCTTAACACTGATTACCCAGCGATCATGAGCCAAACGAATGCCACAGCTACCTCCAGTATCCGGTGTTATAGTTGGCATTTTGTATCCTTGACTTCCACCCAAATAGTAGGTGGCATCAGAACGCAAGTGACGTCTTCTGGCTGGACACAATTTACCACCTTTAGGAAAAGGTGGTTCTTGCAAGTATGCTTTCAGACAACCCTGATGAAATAAATGACCACAGTAGACCCTTTCCACATAGTCATCCTTATTGTCGTCCATTTCCAAATCTTTTGGTTCGGGTGGTAGCACCAAACGTTGACAAATGGGACACATTTCACTATGAAAAGCCAAAGTTGCCTCAAGACAAAATTTTAAAGCTCTATATAGTGAAGGGACTGGTTGAAAATCTGCTAAAGTTTTTCCCTTAGGCATACGCAAAGGTGGCTCCACACATTGTCGGGCTATTTCCCGCGATTGTCCATTAAGATAGCGCAATAAAACAGCCGGTAGATTCGTTTGTTGCTCTTGCAAGTCTATACAATGCCTGGGATAATCTTCAGGCACTATGGCCTTAACACGATAATAGTATTCTCCTCCCTTGGCTGTGAAAAGAACAGTTGAAGCCTTCTGTTTAATCTTTAACTGGTCCGCAGGTGCATTGGCGCCCAAATCCTTGCGCAATTGTTGAATTTCATCAAAACACACACACAAAGCATTGTCTTTAACATATTGCTGCAGGAATTGTAAGACTTTAATGCAATGCGGTTTACCCAAATATTCCTGGCACTGCTTTTCACACAAACCCGTCAAACCTTGCAAGAACTTTTCAGATAAAGTTTTACTTTTTAGCTCTACTAAGATTGTCCGTTTCGGATAGTCTTCGGGAAATCGTAGACACACCGTAAATTGACGATAGTGTTTATTCTCTTGTATGTCCACACGCACCAAAGGGGCTGGAGCAGCTGAAGTGCAAGCAATTATTTTTGAGTTGGGCACAACATTTTCACACAATTTTCGTATTTCGTCAATTTCAAATTCAATAATGCTCATAATCTATTGGAAATGAGGCGGTTTTAATCTTATAATATTTACTTTTAATTGGTTTCCGGACTTTGCAATGTTTTTATGAATTTTTTAGAAGAAAACAAAAAAATGACACATTATTTGCCGCAGATAGTTGTGTCCAAAGTGAATTTACTTAAGAAGCGGTAGCCAGTATAGTTTCATATAGAATTTGAACAGAAAACTGTCAATTTACGTGTATAAAAAATATTGACCAGCATGGTGTTCTGTCAAACTTTACATCACAAAATGCTTTACATTAATGAATTCCCCTTTTTCTACCACATCTTTTAATTTTTCTGAGTAGTGCTTATCAGAGACCTGCGCCGATCGGCTCACAGCCGACTAAGCCGAGCCGCCGAATAAATTTAGAAGCCGCCGCCGCCGAAAATTTTTTCGGCTTATATCGGCTTAAATTGAGCCGCCGATTCCTATATGCATATTAATACTATATGTATTAAAATTAAACAAATTAAAAATTATTACCATTTTATATTGTTTAAGCCCCCTTCACACGAGCACACAAGTAATATGATCTGTCAAAATTTTGTGTAGAAGAGAACGGATAGGATCGTCTAAACGCAATATGTAATGAAACAATCACACATTGAGAGAAAATACGGATGGAAAATGTGACAGTCGTATGGCTCTCTTCATTTTTTGAAATGATTAAAAAAACAAGCAAGTCGCATTAGATCAGGGATGTATATTTATGTAAACACATACAAAAAAAATGAAACAGCTGTTTCCATCTTACTTTGTTATTGTTTTATACCAATCGTTTAAACACAAAAAATATAAATCATACGACTTTTATTCTCTTTTTTGTCATATGGATGGAATTTCAATTTACTTTTTCATTAGACTTTTCGTATGTAAAATGTGATCGTCTGAAGGGCCCTTTACTGAAAATTTAAAATATTTAAAAAACGTTATTTTTATATATGGTTCGAGGCATTACTCGAATTTCGTGTTTTTGAACTGAGTACTGCAAATTATGCATTCCAATTCTTTATATAAATACGTACATATGTATATCTGTTTACAAAAAAAAAAACTAAAAATAAAACTCATGCTTTTAGATATTGTATTTATTTTAAATTCAAATGAGAAAAATTTATATGTTTAAAATTTGTTAAAAAAAACATTCTTTCGTTTTTTCTCGAAAAGACGTTTTTTGAATTATGTTAGTATTGTGAGCATTATTTTTGATTGGCCTGATGTTTTCCTTTCCATATCACAAAACTAAAAGAACTTCAATGTCTGTTTTTATTAATCGGATACGTGAATACTAAAAACGTTTATTTTTAAATTATATACAATATGGCAAATTTTATTCGGCTCACAGCCGACTTAAAGCCGCCGCCGAAACTATTCTACATAAGCCGCCGCCGCCGTCAAATTTGCTCGGCGCAGGTCTCTGGTGCTTATGTGGCAACTTCAAAATTAATTTAATGATTGGCAATTCGATATTGTTTTTTTAATTATATAGTAAGTACAAAATATAAGATAAATAACTATAACATTAAAAATGGGTTTATTTGAAAAATTTAAATTAACCATTCTTTAATTTGTTTCATTAGAAAAACTATTTTTTTTTGCAATACCGGCATCTCTATTATTTTGTTGACAAGAATTGTTCTTTAAATCTGGTCACTCTCATCGTTGATTTGACAGTTTGTTGTTGTGCAAAAATTCAATTTGTCAACAGTGTAGCCACGTTGTGTGATTCACGTACTCGAGTAAGAGGAATTGTGTTTTAATTCTATTGCAATTCTCGATTTCATCATCTAATAAAATGGTCTTGGATTTGGATCTCTTCCGTAGCGACAAGGGTGGTAATCCCGATGCTATTCGCAAAAATCAAGAATTACGCTTTAAGGATGTAGGTCTGGTGGAGACCGTCATCAGCCAAGACACAGAATGGCGTCAAAGACGTCATCGTGCCGACAACCTGAACAAGGTGAAAAATGTCTGCAGCAAAGTGATTGGTGAGAAAATGAAAAAGAAGGAACCACAAGGTGATGAAGCGGCCGAAGTACCGGCTGAAGTGCAACAAGAATTGACAGAATTGAATGCTGAAAAACTGGGTGCTCTAACCGTGAATCAAATTAAAAAGGTTCGTGTGCTTATCGATCAGGCTATGGTCGAAAACGAGAGACTTTTGGGGGAGGCCGAACAGAAACGTAATACAGCTTTGCGTGAAGTGGGCAATCATTTACATGAATCTGTACCGGTTTCTAACGATGAGGAAGAGAACAAGGTGGAGCGTACTTATGGTGATTGTACCAAAAAAGGCAAATACTCTCATGTTGATTTGATAGTAATGATTGACGGTATGAACGGTGAAAAAGGCACAGTAGTATCTGGTGGTCGTGGTTATTTCTTGACAGGTGCCGCTGTATTCTTGGAGCAAGCTTTGATTCAACACGCCTTGCATATGCTGTACGCTAAAGATTATATTCCTTTGTATACTCCCTTCTTTATGCGCAAAGAAGTTATGCAAGAAGTTGCCCAATTGTCACAGTTCGATGAAGAACTCTACAAAGTTGTGGGCAAAGGCAGCGAAAAAGCTGAAGAAGGTGGTGTTGATGAAAAGTATTTGATTGCTACCTCTGAACAACCTATTGCAGCCTATCATCGCGATGAATGGTTGCCTGAAGCTTCTTTGCCCATTAAATATGCTGGTCTCTCTACATGTTTCCGTCAGGAAGTTGGTTCTCATGGCCGTGATACTCGTGGTATTTTCCGTGTCCATCAATTCGAGAAAATCGAACAATTCGTACTCACCTCTCCTCATGATAACAAGTCATGGGAAATGATGGATGAAATGATTAACAATGCTGAAACCTTCTGCCAATCTTTGGAAATTCCATATCGTGTTGTTAACATTGTTTCAGGAGCTCTTAATCATGCTGCTTCAAAGAAATTGGATTTAGAGGCTTGGTTTGCAGGCAGTGCCGCCTTCCGTGAATTGGTATCCTGTTCTAATTGTTTGGACTACCAAGCCAGACGTTTGTTGGTGCGTTATGGTCAAACCAAGAAAATGAATGCTGCCGTTGACTACGTCCATATGTTGAACGCCACTATGTGCGCTACTACTCGTGTTATCTGTGCTATTTTGGAGACACATCAAACTGAGACTGGTATTAAGGTGCCAGAACCTCTTAAGAAATATATGCCAGAAAAATTCCGTGATGAAATTCCTTTTGTTAAACCAGCACCTATTGACGTAGAAGCAGCTACTGCCGCCAACGCTAAAAAGCCCGGAAAGGGTAAAAAAGATGCTGCTGCCGCTTAAGTTTATCGATTCATCGAAGAACACAGTATAATATAGGTTATAAATTGAATGTAATTGCATTTTTTACTTACGCTTATTAGTTGCAGAAGATTGGTGGTTGGTTGAAAAGACCTGTTTCTCATTTAGTGTTTTTTTTTTTAATTTACATAAATAATTTTCAAAATTCTCTAAGCATTTAAATAGTGATTATTAATAAAACAAAGATCCCTTAAAAGGCTAACTCAACATAAGAAAGACAACATCACAAATACGTATTTAATTATTTAATGTGGAAAAGGAAATTAAAGGTAACTAGAAAAATATGGAACTATTTTCGGGAATGTCTGATCACTGCCTAATTAATACTAGTTTACGTTGCCAGTGGTTTTAAAGTAAATTTTAAGGTAAATAAAATTTATTTTTATTTTTTATAATTTAAATAGATGAATAATAAAATATCAATTATTTTTCTCAATAAAATTACGCTTATGGATAGTGCAGTTTTAATTGTAAAAATAAATTAACTGAAACTTTTAGTAATTGTCTTGCCAGAATTATTGGATCTATGTAATGTGGGCATGGACCATGTTTAATGTTTTTGAAAACAACAAAACAACCTCTACAAAATTTATAATTTTTATACAATGCCGAAAAATTCCCATAATAAAACATTTTTATTGCAATAGATACTATATTCAACAATTTAAATTGTTGTAATTTATATTACATTGTAACGGAATCACCCCTTTATATAAAAAACTAAATTCAACAAATTGAAGTATCCTTGACTACCAAAAAATAGAAAATATAAACAAGTTGTTTATTTCTTTCCTAAAAAACTGAAGTGAATACAAATTCAAATCAATTATTACAAAATTGTCTAAAATTTTTTTAATAATTTATAATGACACATCCAAAACGTGATAAATTAGCATCCAGTAATAAGGATACAAGATGGGATCGCATACGTAAGAGACATTGCAGCAATATTTCAACAAATTTAAAATCAGATGCTGTGAAGAAATTCATAGAAATTGACTATATTGGAAGGCAGCAACAAAATATAATGAATGGTGACAACAGCAGGGAATCCAATCTAGATCCGGTCTTAGTAATGAATCTAAGACATGAAATGGTATGAAAAAAGAAATTCGAAAAAAAATATTAATATAAAAAATGTCCATTTTTTTTAGTTTAAAAAGATACCTAGAAAATTACCCCTAGCAACGGTTGCCTACGCTAAGAATTTGCAACAGTGCAAGGAGCACAATATTGCTGTCGAAGATCATTATATAGAGAATCAATTAAATCAATTTCGTATGCATTTACAAAAGCAACACAAACATAATAGAGTGCCTGAGAAAAAGTTGCACTCTTTGTTAATCGATAATACGGATATTATAAAAAGTTTAGAATCTTCTCATAAACATATAGAAGATTTTTATAATACTCCCATAGATGCCTTACAGGAGGTACATGACTTATTTACAGATGAATTGAAAAAACATGCCAAATTGATAGAAGATGAAGAATTTATGGAAACAAAAAGAAATACTCTGGAAATTGATTATTTATCAAAGGAACTGGAAAATAATATAGCTAATGAGGCAGTAGAAACGGAAATAGCAAATACTTTAGAAGAGCAACCAACAACATTAGCAATTGAGAATCAAGAAAGTAGGGAAGTAAAACCAGAAGAAAATATTTTAGATTTTATGGCCGAAAGAATGAGTGAATTAAATTTGAATAATGAAATATTCGATATGAATTCTCAAGTTAAAGCTGAGGAGAATTTTCAGCGTACTCCCAGTCCCTTGGCTAATACAGATGAGATTTTAAAGCCCTTAAGGGAGGTAATAGAAGAACAAAATGCTCTACACTTAAGATGCGTAAGATTTGATGATGACATTAACATTTGTCGGGTTAAAAGAGAATCATCTGTATGTTCAAATACTAGTGATGGTATCGATTCAGTTATATCTGATTTAGCTGAAGAGGCCTTGAAAGAATTGGAAATGGAAGAAGAGTTTAAACTAGAAGACATATTGGAAGAAAATAATTCAGAAAGCAACCAAACTAAACAGAATTTAACGTTAAACGGCTGTTCTCTACACAAAACTAGCAGCGAAAGCAATGATTTAATAGTTACCGGTAAGATGGCTCATTATGTTAAGTCTTCAGAAGAAGAAAATGAAGAAATAAACCCTTCAAATGGTTCTTCCAAGGGATTGGAAAACAACACATATTCAAATAGTGAAAAATCTAATATTATAGAAAACTTATTTCTAAATCGTGCCCATAACAACATCTCTATAATGCGTAAATATTTTCTAAAATGGGTCCATTATACTAACATTGAAAAAATTGAAAGGGAACATGTAGATGGGAGAGCTGATCGTGTTAAAAAGATAAATATTTTCCTGGACAAAATACGCATTGAAAAAAATCGTTTGAAAAATAGTCAGAAAACCGAAAGTGAATTTGCGTTTGAAAATGGACATAAGAAAAACGGAGAGAAAAAGGATACCTTGGAAAATGTGAAAGTAAATAAGAAATACCAAAACAAGTAAGTGCCAAGAACTGAAATAATTTGAATTTTATTGAATTAACATTTGCTGCAATATTTCCAGAATTAAAGTTCAACAAGATATCATAGATTTGCAACGTCTAAAGTTGGAGCGACAGGAACGTATAATTATGGAATTAAAGCTACACAAATTGTCTGAGGAAGCTAAGGAAGCGCGTCAGGAACTGAAGAATGAATTAAAATCCGTTATACGTTCAGGTGATCCCAAATCTAAGGCTAAGGCCAAATGTTTGCAATTAATAGGTAATCTTAAGGATGACGAAGATGATCATTTAAATAAACTGCAAGGTAAAGCTCTTCTAATGCCTAAATTTCTGCAAAACATGCAAGAAAGGGCATTGGAACGAAGTATACGTCATGAACAAGCTAAACAAAGAAGACTACAGCAGGAAGCCGAAAGAGAGGCTCAAAAATTAGCTCTAGAGGAAGCCAAGGTAATTATTTCTCCAAACATACTCTAAATGTATAATTTACATTTTGTTTATAGCGTCAGGAAGATGAAGAAGCTAAACGATTGCGTATAGAAGCCTTAAGAGAAAAACGTCGCCAAGAGAAAATGGCTAAAATCATTAAAGAACGTGAACGTCAGAAATATTTAGAAAATCAACGTAAGGCCCAGGAATTCTACAAACGCAACTTGCTTAAACGTATAGGCATGGAGTGTTTCAAACGCCTGCTGCAACGCAAAAGGGATAACCTAAAAAAATGTGAAGAACTTCGACGTTCGCTATATAAGAAAACCTATTTTCAAGCCTGGTTTAGTCTTTATCGTATACTTAAAGCTAGACGTAATCAAAAAGCAGATGAATTATACGAGAAATTTTTAAAACGTCAATATCTACAGGTATGGTTGCAATATGTCTACGATGAACGTAGCAAATATAATGTTGCTGTGGACTATCATGAATTCAAATTAACCGAAAGCATGTTCCATCAATGGTGGGCATATACAAAACGAATGCAAATGATTGAGGAGACTAAAATGAAACAGGCCGTGTCGCATCATGAATGGTGGGTGAAAAAGTGTTTGCTATTTTTATGTCTAATCTTTATTTAAACTTAAAAATGTTTGTAGGCATCTAAAATGGAAAGTATTGGATTGTTGGCAAAGATTGCCACAAATATTACAACTGGAAAAGGAAACCGAGGAAAGAAGACAAAGATGGCGTCTAAAAATCTGGGAACTTTTACCCGATTACACACCAAACCGAGATGATTTGAATTTTATGTAAAAATGATATTTAGATATTTTAAAAATAACATTTTGTAACAGATTTTTAATAAATTTATATAAATTGAAAAACTGTTTAAAAAACAATTAACTTTGACCTAAACGGAAGGGAAATTATAAAAAAGGTAATCGAAAAATCACTACCTATTGACGATTTATTATCACTAATTTGAATGAATTTTTTACTCTCAAACTTTGAGTATAGATGTCATCCATAGTCAACATATTATATCCAGTAAGTTGGCAACACTTTTCTTTATTTCTACTTTTTTCAATTGGTTTGACGTATTGTGTTGCCACCCTTAAGGCTTATATAGACATTTTGTCACTACCACCTCAACGAGTCAGGTTGGCCGAGCGGTCTAAGGCGCCAGATTTAAGCTCTGGTTCCCGAGAGGGAGCGTGGGTTCGAACCCCACACCTGACAAGAAATCTTTTTTGCTGTTTTTTTAATAATTTGTTAATAATTGAAGGAAAAAGAATAGATTAATTAATGACAGATACGGAAAAAACGCAAAATATATTCGTGTAGAATTTAATCCAGATATAACAGATGAGTGCCTGAAATGGAAGCTATGAACAATTATGGGCAGATCCGGAAAACATTGATTAATTCATGTGATACGCTATACTATGTCCGATGAGGAAAAACGTCCACAAATTGATTTGTACATATACAAACCTCTAATTCTATAATCATTTTATACCGATATCATTATTAATTCATGAGTTATTTACGATTAAGTGCTATTCGGAAGTGGACTTTATATGAAAGCTACAGCCAACTATGGGCCGATCCGGAAAACATTTCGCAGAATGTCACATTCGGATAGAATTTTACCCATATACATAAGTAATGATTTTCCGATGTGGGCTTTATATAGAAAAATCTTAAATAATATTTTTATATAATAGACATCGGCTTAAAAGTGCAAAACTTCTAGATTATACGACTTTATTTCGACCCACAATAGTTCGTTATAGTTTAAAAATTTCGAAAAATACACCTTTTCAATTGAAAATAAGAACTTTTCAATTCAATTCAGAAAAGATCAATTGAAATTCTGATTTTTCATTTGAGAAAAACTTGATAATGGAATTTTTCATTTGATCTCAATTAAAATTGAGATTTTTCATTTGAACTTTAGAAAATAACAAATAATAATGAGAAATTTAATTTCCACTTCAGAAAAACTCAATTGAAAACAAGTAAGAAAGTATAGTCGGGCGTGGCCGACCATATGATACCCTACACCAGTCATGAATATTATATGTGATCTTTTTTTCATAATAAAGCATTTATCTGGAATATTACCTTGATTCCGATTTATTTAAGCAATTTACTGACGAAAAACTAATTTTCTGAAAGAGGCTTTATATGGGGGATAGGAGCAAATGTGAACCGATCCCGATAAAATGGGCTAGATAGATTTATATTTATATAATATTTGTCTGTGATAAATTTTATTGCAATAACAGTGTTAATAAGTGAATTGCGGATATTCAAGTAATTTTCCGAAGGGGGGCTTTGTATGGGGGCTAGGGTCAAATGAAGTCCGATCATTTCGAAATTCGGCAAGGTCATCAAGGCTTGTATAAAACTTTTATCGAGATACATTTATATTATACAGAATTATGAGCTCAAAAACCCTTTTCGGGGGTATTGTATGGGGGCTAGGTGAAATAATGGACCGATTTTAACCATTTCATTCAATAGGCTTCGTCCTTAGGTCAAAATAAACGTGTATGCCAAATTTCATCAAATTATCTTTAAAATTGCGACCTGTACTTTGATAACAACGTTTACATGGACACACTGACGGACGGACATCGTTAAATCGACTCAGAAAATGATTCTGAGTCGATCGGTATACTTAAAGGTGGGTTTAGTACTAATATTTTAGTGCGTTACAAACATCAGCACAAACGCATAATACCCTTCCCACTATAGTGGTGTAGGGTATAATGAGATTTAAATTTTTTTATTATTTCACATTGACCTTTTCTGAATTTGAAAAAAAAAAATTCAGATTATCAATTATGCTTTGAATGAAATTGAACATTTTTACTTTTACGGTCATGGTTTTAAACTTTTGTATTTTTAGAGGATAAATCCTTTACCAACTTTTCGTGTTGCTAGTCGGGTATCGAAATTTGTCCTCAGCATTTTTTTTAATTTTAAATTTTTAACCAGTTTTTGGACCAGACGCTGTTTGATAATATTGAACCCTTCACCTACGTGAGAATTATGTTATTTTGCATAAATCAATTTAACTAAAATATATAAAACTAAGATTACACTGACTAGAAATGTTGCTAAGGTTTCGAACAGTACTGTACTATTGTATCTCACCTTTAGACTACTAGATTGTAAGAGAGTGAGTAAAACTGGTAACACAACATGTTTTTGGCTAAATATCTTTGTTATTTACATTCAAGTTTAAGTGCACAGCGCTAACACTCACTCTTTAACTCTCAAGCCCACATTTTGAAAAAACAAAAAAACAGTTGTCTTTAGATTTTCGATCGTAACGGTTGCTTTCAAGAAATATTTACGGCATAAAGCTATTCGCTGGCATTAAGATTTCATAAACAAAATTCGTAAAACATTATTTACACATTTGTTGCGATATTTATTGTTTATTTTTATTAATAAAAACATTCTATTTTATTCACCTGAAATAAATATTAGAAAAGCTGTTAATTTATGGCGTATTTTCCAACTGTCAAAGTGTTTTAAATTCAACATTTTAATACCAGTATATAAGAAACAAGTTAATAAATATTTGTTATCATTAATAATTTATTTTCTATAAAGAATTCTGGTGCAAAAAAAAAGTTATTGATAAGAATATATAAAAAAATTCAATTGCTTAACCGCCAACATCGATAAAATATCGTACGTGTGTTTCTAAACGCCTTATCTTGTCAAGTCCGTTGTAAAATAAAAATAAAATATAAACTGGTATATAATTGTGAAAATATTGCTGTGTTCTCTTAAGTTTCCATATAAAAACTACATAGTTGTTAAAACCAAAAATCTACACAAAATGTCGTCAAAATCTTTTAAATGGCATATTTTACTATTTTTGTTCTCATTTATCGTTTTGGCTGATCTTGGTAAGTTTTTTGTTGTTGTATTTTTTTCAGGTTTTTATTTGTTTATTTGAGTATTTTTTTTTTGCAACTATCGATTTCGCTCATAAATTATTCAACTTTTTTTGCCGTTAAAAGTCTTGTTTCTTACTGTTAGTGATTAAAATTGGCTAGAGTTAAAAATGACTTTGTCCATTGCCTTTTATTTTAAACATAAAGTTGAGTTTTTATAGGTTTTTGGTGTTAACTTGGAACAAGGATTGTTAAATTTTAAAATAAATGGATATAGTGTCTATAAAATGGTGTATTTTAGAGTTTCTTTATTGTAATTTAAAAAGAAATGTTGACCATAAACCTTGTTAAATTTGCAATAAAATTGTAATTGTCAAAGGTTGAATTTGGAATGAAATATTTTAGGCTATAAAAGCAGTTTAAGATAACACAGGATGACAAAATTTTAAAAAAGTCGAAACTCTGAGATCAAATTTGACGTTTCTAAATGATAGAGCCGTACTGAATCCGAATATTACCATTTTTGAGACGTTATAACAGCGCCAAGACAACTGTATTTATAAAATGTGTGCCATCTGAAAGTCCATTTAGATGGCTAACATCTGACATATCTTTATTCTTCGAGATATCTTCACCTAAATCTTCAAAACTTATGGTTTTTGGTATATTCATGGTATTTACATTCTACACTACTATAGTGCTACAATATTGGACCCACACCTATCTTATGATGTTCCAATCTACTCCAAATCACTTTTTGATACGACTTAACGATCTCTGTCCGTCCGTCAAATTCAACGGATGATATCTCAGAAACTACAGAAGATTTTTAAACAATTCAAAAAGTATTTTCATATCGAAATATATAATTTTTTTGTAATGTACGAAAAATACAGTTTTTTGTCAATTTATAGCATTAGGTAAAGATAACTCGATAAAGAGAGAAGATATATCAGACGTTATGCCTCTATTTTAAAGAATGGACTTTTAGATGGCATACAACATTTTATAAATAATGTTGTCTTGGCGCTGTTATAACGTCTCAAAAAGGGCAATAATTACTTTTTTTCTACTTTCAGGACACGATATCTCAAATTACAGATGTGATGGAGATTTTTTGACGTCAGATTCGGATTCAGCGCGGCTCAATCCTGGGTTAATTGTCATGTTTTATTTATTATATAATTAGGTCTATATATGTACATTAGACCGACTCACAAAAAATGGTGCTTGAGTTACCCCCCTCAAAATATTCGTTGTTATGTAATATGATGTTACCCAAAATATTTTGGGTTTAGTGTTGTCCCTTCGTTAGCTGGACAGTTTTCAAGAAAATATCCTATGGGGGACATGATTTTTCATGTTCAATTCAAAATTTTACCCAGCTTCAAAAAATCTTTGTTTTGTTTTATGATGGTTCCCAAAATATTTCTAGTCTATCGTTGGCCGTTTGTGAGCTGGACCGGTTACAAAAAAGTCCCTTTTTAGTTATTTTTTTTTTAAATTTTACAATTTTTTCTTAAAAAAAAATATATACAATATGAATGGTTTTTTGAAGTCACGTCTAGTGGTGTCCAAAATTTTGAAAATTGTGCATAAATTTTATTTATATTAATGAAAAACCAAACAATTTAAAATTTTTTGGAATATGACAATTATGAGCAGACGGTTTTTTATGATTGATACAATATCATTGGACGCGGCTTTAAAACCCCATTCAAACGATACCCAATATTGAATATATTGTTTCAAAACAAAACTACAAATTTAAAAAAACAAGTTTTTGCTTTCCCTACAGACTGAGTCGGTATAATGTACATGTGTTTTTTTAGTCACCTTCCGAAATTTTAAATATTTCATTCGAATCCAAGAAATACGTTTCTAAATTATACTTAAAGATTATAAATTTATAATGAATTCGTATAGAAAATTGTTGGATCAATAGTTATGTTCTAT